ATGTTCACTTGCTGCCTAATATATCCCACCCACTGACAGGTGCCATGATAACCAGATAATCAGTGTTATTCACTTCATCTGTCAGTGCTTATTATGTTATGGCTAATCGGTGCATATCCCAGTCACTCTTCACTACAGGGTTCAACTGCAGACCTTATGTCTGTTAGCCAATGGGAAGAGAGTAGGTAGCAAACATTAGTTAAATATTATTTCTTGTAGTCTGTTAATGCTATGCTAAATGAACTGAATCAATATTACCTGGTTTACTTTAAAGTGAAGGTGATGTTAGCCTGTTTGAGAAGCTCACATCCTGTTAATCTTTAAACTGGCTAACATCTTGATATCTTATTTACCTTAAATCTAACAGATGGGATTCCATCCCATTTCTTATGACCCTAAAGGAAAAGGACCCCTATTGCTTCAGGTGCTCAATCTTTCAAACAAACTCGCCCAGCTATATGACTTCAGAGAAAAGGGAACGGAGTATAAATTTTAATGCAAGTCTTTGCTCACCAATAGAGTGAGCAACTCGCTGCCCCTTTAAGTATCAAATGAGGGCACTATGGCTAACCATTGTTATTCTGTATTCATCTATTGACCAATATTTCATGAATCTCCATGTTTCCAACTATCAAAATCCCTTGGCCAGCAGTATCCATCCCTTAATGAACCATAAAGAATGTGTGATAGGAGTACATGAAGGCAAGTCTGGCTCACGGCACCCGAGGGGGACAGGCTGCTGTCAGGTTAGAGTACTAGTGGTTTCTTCACCTCATAAAAGCCTTGATGGTAGAGTTGACCCCTGATCAGCCCAACACATTGTCCCACAACAATCTGGGTCAGGAGCAAATTGGCAGAGCAGAAGAGAGAAAGAGAAGAAAGCCATTGGGGAAGAGCACAGGAGTACAAGAGTGTACAAAGATAAGCTCACGTCAATATCCTGAGAACATCCTTACATTGCTTGGATTAACAGAATATATTCAAGGGCAGGCTGAATGAATATGTAAAATGAATGTGGGATACTGTGTGATGTACTGTTATAATTTATAGATGCTAAAATGCTACACATGGCACCTTCAAGCATAAATATTTGGCAGTGTATAGTGCCATAACAAACTGGGATGTGAATAAGTAACAAGAAATAAATGTTTGCTGAACTCTCAGACCAGCTAAGATGTTTCATAATTCATGTAAGTTAAAACATAATGAGCACACCAGGAGAGGCAATGAAGCAAAACATGTTGCATTCTTGTTTTTACTTGGATACATTATGAACGGAAACATATCAGAGTGCACATAACATTTGTTTGCTTTCTTCTCTTCTTGTATTTGACTGTGACTTCACAAACATGCTATTTGTTTTGGGATCTGAATATGCTCTTCATGCCATGTGTATGTCACGAAGGCCATCCTACAAAGAGAACTTTGCTCAATGTAGCCCCGATGACTGACTGTAAACCCTGCCAGTGAGAACATGTCTGGAGACACCTTTTCACTCTTGCATGGGTTTGTTTCAGGACAGGGCAGATAATAGGGCAGATGGTTTTGAGAAATATCATGGGGTATAACAGGCATCAGATGACATAGAGAACTCTGTTGTCCCCTTTTTCTTTCCTCCCTATAGACAAAGCTCTGTTCCCTTTACTTATCTGATCCCTACCAAGGAGCAGCAGAGCAGACGAGGAGAGTCAGGGTCAGACTTTGACAGTCTTGAATAGAGGACACCAGTATACAGGGTTTGCCTCCCCCACAGTGGTTATTAAAATTATATCTGTATCATCACCACATCCCTTCAAATCCATCCACCTCCGCCTCTGAATCAGAAACTGGCTTAATACCAAGAAGCTGATGCACACTTTGGAAATTCAAAACGACCCACAACAAAGGTTGACCCATTAGAATCTGATCAGACATTTCTGTGCACCATTCTTCACTACACAACAGAGATGAATTTCTGTGGGGCATTATCTCCACAGTGCCATATCACATGACATAAAGCCAAGCCATGGCATCACTAACATCATTCAATTGACTTTTCATATGTGGAATCCAGCTCTGTCTTATCGCTGAGTCTGATCTGGTGCTCGGTGGCTCAGAGGGAGTCGAGGCATTCTGAGGTTATCTGCTCCGTCTCTCTCACAGCGAGAGCCGCCGGACACTTACTGCATTGTTGGAGCAGAGAGACTCAGAAGTTGGATAGTGAGAGGCAAAAGTTTGGCATGCTGTGAAACTGGCTCTTTGTTCGCATGCATCCTTCTAAAGACCTACAGACTTGGCCACTGTTAGAAACTAAACTCAGTCCATTGAAGACTTGAAGAGCTGACATTCATTTAACTCAACCTGGGATTTGTCACAAACTGGGTTAAAGAGTTTAGCTCTAAAAGTGACTGGATGTTTTATTTGATGCATCACACCACATTCTGGCCATGGTGAACTCCCACTTCTAATATTGTCAGACTTTCTCATGCAGTAACCATATGCAGATGAGACTCTGGGGAAAGTGTGGAATAGCAATTGTGGAACACCAATCCCTTCCAAAGTAACACAGAGGAAAGAGGTGCCAACACTGCTCTCTGCTGCTTGTGTATGATCACTACAAGAGTCCTGCTTACAGTTGCATTACATGTTGTCAACCAGCAGATGGCAGGATGCAACAGTGTCTACTGGACTGTTCAAATGGAATAATCTGCCTTGTCTATTGAGAATGTATCTACAAAGCATACAACATTTTTACTTAAAAATGTGCATAATAAACAAACTCATAAGTATACAATTATGACAATTTATACATGTTTGCTGAATAAAACGTGGAAATAGTCAGTGCTGGAAGAAGTCCTCAAATATCTTACTTACGTAAAAATAAGTAAAAGTCCTGCATTCCAAATCCTACTTAAGTAAAAGTACAGAAAAATGTACTTCAAGTATTTAAAGTAGGAGTACTCATTCTGCAGAATTGGCTCCTGTGATTGATGGTTTATGATGTATTATTATATTTTATTATATCATCTATCTAATACTGATGCCACACTGTGTTATTAGCATTTTACTGATGTAGCTGGTTGTGGAGGAGCTAGTTGTAACTACTTCATACACAGTTAACCAGCTTAGTCCAGTGGCTGGGCCCCCTCCAATGGTCACAAGATAAATTTGGCGGACGTGAGATTAATGAAACAGGAAATTCTGCAGTGCAAATCAGATCTTTAATCTTATATTGGATAATTTGACCTCTTTTGTGCCTTGAACAGTTCTATAAAAGGAACCATCAGACGAGTTTAAAGCTAACAACTCAGAGACATCTTAAATGTGAGAAGTGGTTGCCCCCTAAGCTGAAGTGGAGTAGAAGTATATATTGCATGAAATGCATATGCACAAGTAAAGTACAAGAACCTTACTGTATTATTATTAACCTCATTTAATCCACCTGTCATATAATAGAAAGCCTAATTACTGTAGGTTGATTTAGCCACTTTTGGATTTTTTGGCATTTTTCATTAATGGTGAAGCTCCATTTTACATAGCCACTGATATTACTGACTAAACTGCAACATTACAGCCATGTAAAATCTGCAGGACATGCAGTAACCTGTGGCAATAAACTAATAAGGTCATCGTGAGTGATTGCTTTTTTACCTCGACATGCCAATAAATCAATGCCACACACCACATCCATTCATCACTATCATAATTGTTCACTTGGAATGTTGTCATCAGTTTGAATCTGATGCCTGATTGAGTTAGCTAAAAGATGGAAACATCAATAGAAGTGTACAAAAACACAGAGCTGTATTAAACCCAATGAGTTGTGTAAGTAGATTCATTCCTGCTTGCTGTATTTCTGTATTGATTGCTCTACATAACTCAGTCCACAATGTGCAGGAACTATTTTAGCTAAAATGTTTTGGTTTAGTTAGTATGTAAGTTTGGTTTTGCCTATAGGATGTAATATTTTGATATTCTTTGTATGATTCTCTTTTCCTCTTGGCAAGGACAGACTGATCAGAAGCCATCCATCTCTAAATTGCTAGCTGAGACAAACAGGAAACTGACACTTCTCTCACCCTACTACTCTTTGTAATGAAGTCATCCAATGACACAGAGACAGAGTTAGGATCCCCCTGAGCCCTGATGAGTGCATGGATGGCTGCATAACAGTGTACAATGGGCATGAAAAAGAGAAAATCTCCCAAGAGAAAGCCTATTGAAACCCCAGAGGGCCTAAAAAGTGAGCTTTCTGCATTATTATTCCAACACGATGCAATTCAAGTATCCTGGAAAGTGTCACCAAATGGCACTGCTGGGATTTTTCAAACCCGAGTTCACACCCCACCAGGATGGGCGCTAAGCTTGCGCTAATTGAGAGCGTGTAACACAGATGCTCTCCTCCGGGTTAGGGGGAAAGCAGAGTGTGATGACGCAGGCTGTTTCCCACATTTTCTCGAAATAATCCTGCAGATCTTCAGCAGAGCCATCATTTTTGAAAGACCCTCTGTCCACTGACTGCCTACTTAGAAGAGGAATGATGAGGATTACAGATGAATAAACAGATGAATTAGAATTTTATTACCATCAAAGTCATCAACTCAGTCAAGGAGTACAGTACAGAGCTCACAAATGCAAGACAGGACCTACAGGTGACCACTGGTCCTGGCAAACATCACATCTACAAGTACACCTGTAAGTGCGTGGCAAAATGAACAGACATGGAATACTAAATACAGTGAGAAATGTATTGGAAAAAAGCATTGCTTTAAACTGTGTAACAGTATTTAAACAGTATTTATTTGCCATCTAAACAAAGAGAACGGACTACATTAAATAATCTATTCACATAAAAAATCTCTCTTCTGTTTAAGCCTCTCGTTAAAATCTAAATATTTATCTTAAACAATGTAAGAAATAATATAGTGGTATACTCTGAATGATTGGTGTGTCTACCAATCTATCGTAGCGCAAATTAAATGAAGATACATGTATAAATAAAAGACTCTGCAGCAACAAAGTCAAACTTGAGATTCTACGAATAATAATGTGATCAGTTTCCTCCAGAGCCCCTTTTTATCTGAAATGCACATTTTCATATAAATTCACAGGTGTTCACAGTAAATACTCTTGACAACAGACTGGGTAGAGTCAGACAAAGTGGCTGTGCACGAGCCATAACATATTATACTTTATTTATATTATCTAATAATCGTACTGTCAATGTTACTGCTGTCTTTATGTGACCAGGGAATGGTTCAGTGTGTGTTAGCACAGGAAATCATGTGGGCACTCACAGGCCAAAGAAGCAAATATGGTCTTATTCGTCCTCCCCCACACCCACTTATCTGACAGCAGCCTTGTGTTAGTTAAGTGGCCCTGATGGGCCTGACAGTTGGCAAGGACTATAGACTTCTACTCACAGGTACATGGACTGTATCGAAAGGACACCAGGAATCACAGTTTCTGCAGCCAGTCGAATATTGCTCAATTTCCTCTAGAGTGATTACAGAGAACTCCTTCTGTAGCTCATTATTAATGCTCAAGGGGACCAGTGGCTGGAAAGGATAGATTGTTATTACTGTTTAGTCAAGTATAAGCTGAAACATCTATGGAATAAACAAATGACTGAAAGAGTTGAAAAACAATCAACAACAAAAAAAACAAGCCAAGAAGATTTAAAAAAAAGAAAAATACAAAATCTAAATAAATTAACATTAAGTTCAGAAATGTTAAACGTATGCTTCATACATTTTTTTTCAGTACAATACAGGTCAGCAAAGCTGAGTTGGCGAAGGTGACTCTAGTTACTACAAAGTCAAAATGATGCATGTCTTCCTTTAAAAGCCGCATGTGGTCAGTTAATGCACATTTTGTTTTACAGTTTACAACCAAATATTAAGACATATATGGCATCTGAGTCAATATCCTTACACAGAGGACACAAGTAAACCAAAGTAGATACAAGGAGACTGAGATCTAGCAAGAAAACAAAACAATTTCTGTCACGTGATGGATTAAGAAGTGACGTTTCTAAATAAGAAAGCTACAAATTAATTTGGATGCATAGAACTGCTATGTAATGAAGACATTAATCATATGACTTACATTGATGCTAAGGGGCGCTAAATGAACAGTAGTTATAGACAGCATAATGTATAGTGTGCTTTTGAAAAGAACATTAGCCTAGACAAGGCTTGTGGCAAGAGACGAGGGTGCTGTGGCCTACGATTAGACAAGGTTGGCAGTAGCGCATCTTTATCCACCAAGTGGCTGTAAATGTAAAAGGAACAGCAGAAAGTGAGAATGCATGCTGTTTTGGCTACTTCTACAAAGGTCTCTATATACAGAATCTTTACACTTACAGCTATGAGGTTCTTTCCTGAGCAGGAAGTTAGCAAAGGAACATAGTGTTTGTGTGTGTGCTTATGTGTAAAGCTGCCTTGTTCAAAATACAGCACTGGGCATAATAACTCCCAGTCACCAATCTCAGCATTGTTTAATGCACAATACCTGCTTAGTGTAGACAATAACAGATAAGAAAGATAACCATATTCTCCCTGTGAAAGGAATAGGTGATTTTCTCTGTGTGTGGACCAGCACTTACTGAGTATTACGGTACAAGGTCAAAATTTCAGGAGCAAAACTTTTCTAATGATTTAAAGAACAAATACTGTAATTGTAACAATGGCAGAAAGAAGTTTCCCAAGTTGGCTCGTTAAAAAGAAATCAAAGCCGTTTTCAGCACAATTATGTCTTCCTATATTCTCTTATCACTAAGAGAAGAATCAGAAAGAAGACTTTAGCTGTAAGCCACAGTTTGACAGCCAATCTGTTTTTGCCCCTAAAACTCAAGTGTGCGGTGATAGACATGGTTTATATTATCTGACATAAAACACCGGAGGGTCAGTGAAAAAACCCCATACAAGTAAAAAGAAAGCCAATGCAACGCAGCACTCAGGAAAAGGTAGCACACAGCCTCCATGAGATGATACTAATGCTGCAAGTGAGAGAGAAGCAGAGTCAGTGTCACCATGCTAGCAGCTAATGTACAGTGTGCAGGAGTTGGTGGGGACTGCAGAGGTCACACAGGGAAGGGTTGGGGGGGTGGGTCTAACCCTGCTCGTCCCCAGCATTGGTGGCTGCGTGGAGAGCAGTTGAAGTTTCTCCATTACAGCGCGATGTGGGCTCGGCCTCCTGCGGCGCCGGGCTTGGCTGCTGTGGCTCAGCGGCCAAAGCTGCCACCCCGGGTCCGTCCTCGGGCGTCGGTTGGCCTATCTCCG